CATGTTGTACACAACGATGAGAGTGTTGAATGGTATGATGTCGTAGAACAACATTTTAAAACTTTTGCAAATGGGGTAACATAATGCATGTTTTGACTTATACCTCTCCATGGCCTGGTATAATCATTCAAGCAATCAACTTCTTTTGGTTAATATCATTCGGTAGTGAGAATATTGCTCGCTCTTGCTCTTTCTACTGTGTAGCTGATCATCCAAAATCAGATGAGTTTTCTTCACTCCATCAAGGTAACACTCTAAGGAAAGTTTACTCGGAACCAACTTYACATGATGTTGTCCTGAGGGATATCATGCAACTTTTCATTTACATTTATTCGAATTTTACATCCCGCTGCATTGCGCGGGTACACAACTAGTATATATATATATATATATACTTTTAATTTAACATGTACTTTATTTTAAGATATTTGATTTGTGATTGAATATATTAAATAATTACTAATAAAAAGGTAAAAAAAAATGTGTGAATCAGGTTAAATATTAGAGCAGATTACATTTTTGGTCCATATAGTTTGTTAAAAGATCGATTAGTCTTTCATAACGGTTGTTAAGTGGAGTGATCATGAGTGTTATGAAAGTGAAAATTTTGAACAAACCACAGAACACCAGTGTAATTCACTCAATCAAATAATATAAACTTTAAAAAAATAATGATTTTATGCTTTTAACTATATAAATTAATAAATTGAGTTACTAATAACGTAATTATAATTTCAAGATTACAAACAAATAATTTGTTAAGAACAAAAACTGCACCAAAATATAATTATTTTGTATTTGTATTTGTATCTAAAAACTACTTTTACTTAAGGAATCTGACAACCAAATATATATATTCCTTGTAATAGAAACGAAAACAAAACTTCACAAGTTTTGAAATTAAAGAAAAAAACGAAAGCAAATAATCCATTTGAATCAAATAAGGTTTAGGTTAAATAGTTTCAGATAAGACAATATAGTTAACTAAATAAGAAAACTTTATCTGATCCGTCTTTGGGTTATTATTTTTACTATTTCATTTAAAACGAGTCAACCAAATAACACCTAAGGATACCATTCCATTCCCCGTCGTGATATCCCCCTGATAACCCTATCATTTGTCGTCCCTGCACCTTCTATCCATCGTAACCATCGCCTCCGCAACTCTCTTTCTTCTACCATCCTCACCCGTCATTCTTCAACAACCAACCATTGTACTCCTTGGTTCCACAATGAGATTGAGGGATGGTGATGGTGGGATGGTATGCTAATTGACGATGGTGACTGAGATGTTGGCGGTAGGAGCAATGTGGGAGGATGGTCGAGGGTGGGGAGAAGGGGGGAGAGGTGGTGGTATCAGTTAAATTGGATGTAAAGGTTATTTGTCTTTCTAATACCAAATTATAAATTCTATTACGTTTTCCAAGGAATGGAATTCAAATTCTTTACATATGTCAAGGAACGATCAAATCCCTCAACCTTAGAATTCGACGAAATCCAATCAATTCATTCCACAAACCATACATTATCAAGGAATTTGGTTAAAAAATTGTCATTCTATTTACATCAAATTTTTTAAATTATCTGAATCAAACAAACCCAAGAAAACAACAATCAGCTACAAACTGCAATTATAAAATTAATAATGAATAAAAAGAATGCAGAAAAACCGAAATTTTCATAAAACCGTAGGGACTAAAAATGTAACTTAGCCTAATTTATATAAAGATAAATTAATCATATATTGAAATATTTAATAGAAAGTACATTGACTAATTTTATTATGGTAGGAAATAAAAATAAATGTTTTAAAAAAGAAGTAATTGAGTGGAAAACGCAGAAAGAATTGATTAAAAGCACACAACCCTCACTTTCCCATTTGCTTATAAAAACTTCCCACTTTCTCCTCTATCTTCTCTCTAGAAACGGGTATGAATCCGATATTTCGGAGCGATGGTGTTCATCCCTATTCCACCATTACAGGCGTGGAGAAGAGGCAATTGTTCTTAAGAAGCTACCAGTTTAGCAGGAAGCAAACCGCTGGTCAGAAGATGAAGAGATCTCTGTTTCGTGTCAAGAGAATCATCTGGTTGAAGCTTCGTTCTGTTAAAAGGATTCATAGAATGATCTGGAACAGGCTTCGCCATGGCTTCTTCATTCGATTTCGGAGGAAAAGGTTCATTCGATTAAATCACAATAACACTTCTCTCTGTAATTTCTGGTAGGAATAGGAATAGGAATAGGAATACAGGATCCATGATATGCAACTGTTTGTTTGTTTGTTTTTTAAATTATCATTATCATTATTATTATTTTTGAATTTCTGTTGATTAAATGTAGCAGTAATCGATGATTTGTTCTAATCTTCTGGTAATATTTATCATCATCTCTTGTGCTTCATGGAAATTATTTCATTTTTGTCTTTTAAGAAATATGAAGAACAGATTTATGATTTTATGCTATTCAACATCTCAATGACAAATACTGAATGTTTTTCTGGTTTCATAAATCATTTAGGGATGTTTGATTAAACATATATCTCTAAATTAAACAGTAATTTTATTATTAATCTGGATATCCAACCCGCTATGCTAGTTGACTAATCCCAAGACGACCATTTGCGTGTAAAAATAATTTGTTTATATAATATAATGGATGTGTTGTTATTTTCATTTCATTCTACGGCTTAAACCAAACAGCCCTTAATGATTATAAAAACCATGTTTTTGATGCTTTTGGATCAATTTAATTCATCTTATAGTTAAATTATCTTAATTTTAATCATTTAAAATTACTAAAATTAAAATATTACATAAATTAACTTAGTTTTAATACGAATTTCAAGAAGTTGAAACTAATTGTTTGTATACATACTAAGGAAAATTGTTAAGGAAACCTAAAAACCGAGAAAGTGATGAAAGATCTAAAGTCAATCCAACCAAAAATACCGTGAAGGTAAAGTACAATCGTGTTTGAAAATATTTTACTTAAATGGAACGGAAAATATGACTTCAAAGTTGTAACGAAGGACTTTATTTATGAAATAAACTTTTACACGTATCTTTTGTTGGAATTATTTAAATATCAAAACTTTATATTATTATTTTAGTATAAGGTTTCTGTTAAATTGGGCTAAATTAAAGAGGATGTGATACCTCATTATGTAAATAACCGCCAGGTAGTTTTAGGAGGTTAGCAGCGTCGGTTATGACATCCCATGCCAACCGACATGTCTCTTGTATTGGCGCCGATTCATCATGTTTATATACATGAAATCAGCTTCAATGTTAGTGTGTGTATACAATTTCCCATTATTGAATAGAAGTTTCTTTCTCAAGTGATTGTTTTCTCTCTCAAATTATAAGTGTGTGTATCCAAGTGTTCTTTCTGCAAATCGGTTCATCTAAGAGCTTTGGTCATGAAATCGAAAACGGCGAAGTTTCGAAATCGGAACTTACTAAAGGTTCGCAACCATCATCCTCAACGCAACATCTTTCAGTATGTATGGCTCATGTTGTCGTATTGTGTTGGTGATTTTTTGTCTAGTATCTTGAGAGTAGTCACATGGTACAATAATACATCATGTTGTAGGCAGTGTTCATTACAAAACATAAAGCATTGAACATCAAGTCACGATGGTTCTGTCTAAGACAGCGTCTAATGGTTTATGAAATATTTATTGTTATTTTGACCACTTGGGTAGCCCCCACTATAAAAGCTTGAGTTTGCTCTACAAAAATCATCAATCCAAGTCTTGTTATTATCATCGAAAGATTGTTTGACTGTTAACCTTAAGGTCATTGATCGAAATGCACACAAATTGGTCTGGACATCTTCGATTGTAAACAAAATCATTTCTTCTGACTTTTACGTCAATTCTGATCATGATCTTGTATTCAGATACTAGGTTTTTAAAATAAATAAGTATCAGAGTTCGTTTATAGTAATTTTGTACTTATGAATAGACTAAGATAATATATATATATATATATATATATATATATATATATATATAATATTTGATTTGATGTATGATGTTATAAAGCTTATGTAATAAGTTAAGAATAATAAAATTTGTCTAATATTAGGTTTTATATTAAAAAAATGATATTTTTCATAACTTTGACTAAAGAAGATGATCTTGTAGTTGTTTGGCATTTAAGGATTTGTAAATATTCCATCTAACCAAAATTACGGAACTTCGTTTCATATTTTAAAGGTAAATTACATATACGAGAAAATTTTATTTTCTTTTATTTTTTAGAGCCAAACTACAATTTTCGTCCTTTTTTCTTATAAAATATAAAAATAAACTATTTTATAATATATTATATGTAATATTTTATTTCATTTTAAATAGTATTATATATATATCTCTCTCTCTCTCTCTCACACACACACACACACACACATATATATATATACACACACAAAAGATCATGTGAGACCATCACGTTTTCGTGAGACCCATGAGACCAGTTAAAGAACATTAAACTTTCACAACAAGACACTGTGAAGATAAACCTTCACGGTGTTTTTTATTAACATGGATATCTAACCCGTTATATGAGCCGACTAATCTCAAGATGACCATCCGTTTCGTGGGTAACCCAGAGTCACCGCATTTGAACCTTCGTGGCCACAAGAGGATTTTTATCCCTCATTGGATTCGAACCTGAGACCTCCAAGCACTTTTGACATTTGGAACCCAAACTCAAATCAATAGGGTACCACTCTTGTAGTTACCTTCACGATATTTTTGCTGTGAATGTTCGGTGGTTTTTTACATTCACAGTATTTTCTTGTAAATATTCAACATTATTTTGTGATTTTACGGATCTCACAAAACATGTTGGTGTCATGATATATATTATATGTATACACAAATAATACGAACCTTTGTCCAAACTTGCAACCAATCAACTTCCAACTCCGACAACCCACATCTATTCATGCGTCTCCCTCTTCCTTACCCTCGATCTCCCCCTCATTTTCCATCTCTTCCTACCCTTTACGATCAAGACCACCCTTCCACCTCTTCCCCTTTTTAACCCGCTCCGGTGTTCCTTCTCCCTTCTTAGTTTCACCTCCATCTTCAACCCAACCACCACCAAATTCGATCTACTTCTTCCTCTACCACCACTCAGTTGACTCTCTCTTTAGATTCACACACACACACACACACATACACACATATGTATATATACATATATATACATATATAGGAGCGATCAAATGCAAACTATCCCCTTTTGTGCAAACCCTACAAACCAATCTCATCCATCCATTTTCTTGATCAATGGTCATGATTAAAATGTGTTATATTAGAAAAGTAAAAAAAAAGGTTAATATTTAATCAAGAAAGGGCAAAATTAATAAACCATTGTTCGTCTCATTTTTGGAAATTGGTTTAATCAATAAAAACATTTTGCAAAATTGTATCTCATTTTTTCGTTAGTAAAATTAGTGAAATTGGTCTCATCAATAAAAACATTTTTGAAACTGTATCTCATTTTTTCATTAGTGAAATTGGTTTCATTGTTCGTCTGCATAATGAAATTTGAGCTAGATATGGTTCAGTCAATGGAACATTTTCCAAAAATCTGCATAACATGTTTTCATTAATGAAATTCGTTTCATCATTGAAATTGGTTTCATGGACTCCACAATTCCAAAAACTGAATGACATTGTTTCAACAGTGAAATTTGTTGAAATATTTCTTAACTAAAATGGAATCGGTTTCATGCTTTCTAACCAAGATGAACTCGGTTTTACATATGAAGCTAAATATTATTCAGTCAATGAAACACTTCAAGAACTGAATAATAATATTTCATTCATTTTTAAATTTGTTTTATGTTTTCTAACCAAAATAAAATCGTTTTCATGGTTTATAGCCAATATGAAATTGATTTTTATTAATGAAAACAAATATGGTTCAATCAATGAAACATTTCAAGATCAAAAGACTATTATTTCATTAATGAATTAATGGTTTCTAACCAAAAAGAAATTCGTTTTATTTTTCAAAAAATTTAAAAATTTTATAACATGGTTTCATTAATGACATTTATTTTACGAATGAAAACAAAACAATATACTCAAAATCTGAAAAATATCACAACTATATTATTAATAAATCAGTAATTACTTGTGAATTGAAAAAAAGTTCCGATTCTTTTGTTACTATGACAATGAAATAAATAATTTCATAAGAAATAAATTATTACAAATAGA